GCCGGCGGACTATGAAAGCAGCCATTGTATGTAGGAAAGGTGTCGACTATTTGTATTCTCGCTTGTGTGTCGTCCATTCCTCCGGATCGGTTAACGAATACCAGGCTCGTCTGTGAGGTAGAAACACTGACGTAGATATCGTCAGCCATAGGGTAGGCCACATATGGGTGTAGTGCAGTTGAATAGAAATTATCGCTTCGCGGCGACAGCGACGTCGCCACGAAGGAACGTAGCAGAATGGAGGAGAAGCAGCGCAGCGGATAAGGAATACAGGAATAAAAGTAACATTAGAATCATGCCAAATATAAGAATCGCATATCGATCGGGCTGCATAAAAAACGTTAGAACTGCAATGACGAGGCATCTAGTCCGCGACTGCCGCTCGTGACGAATCGGTTGGACAGAACCGATTGAACTGCCCATCTCCGGCACACATGCATTTAAATACCTCTACGAATTTGCAAGAAGGTCGAATGCTGGTTGCATCCGAAAACGGCGCTGAAAGACTTAATCCTTCATTCTTTATGGTAGCGCAACCTAGCTTACACATGTAAGGCACTTTCTTTAAGGATACTTCGATCAAGCTGATGAAAATGAACCTATGGATATGGGCGATGGGGTGGAGTGACTGGACTATTCAATGCTTTCGAAATTTTCAACACGGGAAAATGAGATTTTTAAGGGTGACAGAATTGTTGTTTATGATGTGATCTCGCATAAAGTTATTGCTCCTTTTTGATGGTATTCGGCTGATGTTTGTCGTTTCGTGGGAACTTGGTTAACGATTTGGTTTCTTAGCCTCAGAAAGTCATAATTGCCTTGTTAAACAAGTTGGATATTATAGTAAGCTTTTTGAGCTATGATTCTCATTGAGTACAATATGAAGGATTTGGTGGTTGTGAAAGCGTTTGACCTGTTGAAGTATTTGGGTTCGGTGATGGAGCTTTTCAGGCCGTGAAAAATTTCTGCGGGTCCTGGGTAGAAAGTCTTAATAATTCTATCGAGTTCGCTTTCTTTAATGTTAGGCTCAGTATTTTCGGTATTTTCAATGAAGCCCTTTTTTCATACGACAAATTGGACGAGCCATGAACGCCGTCAGAAGTATGAACGTCGATGAGGCAATAATTAACATCTGATCTACAGCAACCCATTCTCCCTTTTTTTCGAATTCTTTTACTGTGAAAAAAGGTGTGTAACAATGATCTTATAACTGTCAGGGACCATCCAGAATATCACTGTTGCCTGGGGCCGAGTTCCTTACCCATCAAGGCGGTGTTCTGCTCCATGAAATCTATTAGGTAAAAGCGCCGGGTGTCCTGGTGGATTCTCATTTTTCATGCTGACAGTGAGCAGATCCTTTTGCATTTTATCAGCATCTTGACTAGAAATGGGCAACTCATGCATCCAATGTGTCAGAATTACCAGCTGCACAGCATAGATGCCACAAGTTGTTACCTTTTGAACCAAGTTTCAGAGAACGCATAAACATTATACTTGTCACATAAAACCGTATCAAAATAGCAGCTATTTTTGAGAAGGATCTGACATTGGAATGGAAAACCTGGATATTCGATAATGACGAAGAGCAATGTGATCTAAAGAGAAGGACCGAGGATAAGGATATAGTTTTCCTGAGCAGCACCGGTGCTATGTAATGCCGGCTCAGTACTTACAATGCTCTGATTTGAGGAATGTAAATTTGAATGCTCCGTGCGTCCTTCGCGAAGACGCTTCCTCTCCGCTTTTGTGCGGGACTCCGTGAGGAACACCCCACGACCGGGAAAGAAGCGAAGTCGAGAAGCACGAGAAATTGCCAACCGTTGAAAACAAGACGTATCGCAACCTTAAGTAATCTGTTTCTGTCAAAATTGGTCGTGCAAGCCTACACACAACAACGGGTAGACAATCATCATCTAGGAACTCTAGAATGTACAGAACACTACGGTTGTCATAAAATGACTTCTTTCGGATGCTACATTCTTTGAGTTCAGGCACTTCTGCAATAAACATTGAACAACGTTTTCAGGTTCTTGACAATCAATAAAATCGTCACGAACAGAGTTGACAGGGTGATCTACAATAGCTTCGGCTCTAGTAAGCAGTACATCAGGAGCGAGTCCTAATTTTTGGCGCGCAAACAGCTTATCTCGCTCAACTTTGACTTCGCCAAGTTCTATTATCAGTGTGTTGAGTGCAGCCTTAATACAGTCAGGAACCAGCATAGAGGCATGAACTTCACGCATGACATTGTCCAGTCTAGTAGGTTGGGACGGAGAAGTCACAGGAGACGATGACGGACACGATCTTCTTGTGCATTTAAAAATACCTCGAAGAGGGGTGCTCATCGCTAGAAGCGAGTCAAAGAAAGCTCGTCAGTATACCTGATGAGACGACCCAGTTGCACATTGCCAACGTCTTTTCCAGTACATCTTCTAGAAGAGACGTAATAAATATAAGAGGAATGCCTCAGATAGTTAGCGTGCTCTCTGTCTTCTTCCATCCTGACGACGTGCGCAAGACGCTCGAGAGCTTGGATCCATGCTGATGAAATCCCTCAGATTGCATATATACATATAAAAAAGTGCATCATCACTGTATTAGCCATTAACACATATTTTCAACACTTCTATGCTCTTGGGAGAAGTCCCGCAGATATGGAAAGTCCCGAATAGTCACTGTTTCTGACTTTCGTCCGGTGAGGATAACACCCACACCAGCAAAGTTGACGGAGAAGATTATCAGGGATAAGATGATAGCTTGGTTGGAAAGGTTTCGAGTGATACTGAAAGAACAACATGGCTTTTTGAGCGGGTTCTCGACGCTGTCTAATTTGCTGGACAGCATGCATGATTGGAATATAGCACT